TTAGGGTTTAGGGTTTAGGGTTTAGGGTTTAGGGTTTAGGGTTTAGGGTTTAGGGTTTAGGGTTTAGGGTTTAGGGTTTAGGGTTCAGGGTTCAGGGTTTAGTTTTTAGGGTTTAGGGTTTAGGGTTTAGGGTTTAGGGTTTAGGGTTTAGGGTTTAGGCTTCCTTCCTTCCTTCTTTCCTTCCTTCCCTCCTTCCTTTCTGCCTTCCTTCCTTTGGTCCTTCTTCCTTCCTTCCTTCCTTCCTTTCTTCCTGTCTTTCTTTCCTTCTTTCCTTCTAAAACCTACAAGAAATAACGCTTTCCTATGAAAATACAGAGGGAATTACGGCTTTTCGTACGAAAAACCACGAAAATGCATCAAATCCTTTAAAAAATATAGAGGGAATGGTGGTTTTCTTAGGACAAACCAAGAAAATCGACAAAAAAAACCAAAAAATAGGCCCTCCCCTCAAAACGCTTGGAAACTTTACGGGAGTTTAGGGGCCTCAAGAAACCGAGAAACTTTAAGAGGGTTCAGGGGCGTGAAAACACTTCGAGACTTTAAGGGAGTTTAGGGGCCTCAAAACGCTTAGAGGCTAGGGGCATCAGGGAACTTAGAAGCTTTACGTGAGTTTATGGGCCTCAAAACACTTATTAGAGACTTCAAGGACGTTTAGGGGCCTCAAAACGCCTAGAGACTTCAATGAAGTTTAGGAGCTTCAAGAAACTTAGCAACTTTAAGTTAGTTAAGGGGCCTCAGATTGCTTCCTTCCTTCCTTCCTTCCTTCCTTCCTTCCTTCCTTCCTTCCTTCCTTCCTTCCTTCCTTCCTTCCTTCCTTCCTTCCTTCCTTCCTTCCTCCCTGCCCTCCCTCCCTCCTTCCTTCCTTCCTTCCTTCCTTCTTGCCCTCCCTCCTTCCTTCCTTCCTTCCTTCCTGCCTTCCGTCCCTCCCTTCCTCCTCCCTTCCCTCTTGTCCTCCTTTCTGAAAAAGGAAAGTTTTTTTTTGATTGGAGAAAAGTTTTTTTTTGATTGGAAAAAAGTTTTTTCTTGATTGGAAAAAAGTTTTTTTTTGATTGGCATCCCTCCGAACCCTGGGTTCGAACACCCGAACTCAGAGTTCAAACCTAGGGCTCGGAACTCTATGTTCGCCGAACCCTGGGTTCGAACTCTTAGTTCTCAGTTGAACCCCAGGCTGAACTCCGGCTTGAACTCTTTGAACCCAGAGTTCAACCTCTTGTTCCTGGGGTAGGGTTTGAACACAGAGTTTCCCGAACCCAGGGCTCGAACATTTGGAGTAGAGACTGAGAATAAAGAACTAAATAAATTCCACTCCCCTCGTTTCTGATTTCGTTTCTTGCCTTCATCACTCGAATTAGAGAATTATAATCTACAGCGGGGGGTTGGGGGAAAAGTATGCAAAAGGGGGTTTCACAGGCTAAGGCTGCATGGTTACATCGCTACCCACTTGCCCACCAGCTATGTTTTTTCTTGTCCTTGCTCCCTTCTTTAGTTCTCCGTTCGTTCACCACCTTGAGCATTTCCACAGTCCAATTGCCCCGTGTTTTCCGCCGACTTTTTTCGATTTGTTGTCTCCAACTTGTTGTATCCCCCACATTCGTTTTCTCTCGTTTCTCACCTTATCGATTAGCCTAAGGGGCTTTCTGAGGACAATCTACCTCATTCATTCCACTCATCCTACAAATAACAATATCCCAATAATTTTACTTCCTCACCTTATGCATTCCACTATTCTTAAAGCCTTTCCACATCGCTGTCTAAGTCAACTTCCAATGCTTCTGGGGCTTCCCGTGTTATAGTTAGTCCTTTTGTTGTAAGGTTTAAGATTGAAGCAGACTTAAAGCTCTCCGCTTCTTGGACGTCGACGACGACAATGACGAAGTGCGCCTGACTTGTTTGTGTTTTTTCCTCTCGGTCGCTTGCGAGGTTCTGACAGTTCTGCTCATTGCAAAGAACATCAACACTTGTGCAAAACCATGATACATTCCGAAGCATTTTGCCACTTAACGCTCGGGTGTTCTTAGCTTTTCCCCTTGTTGAAGAAGCCATGGGTTCTTCAACGCGTCAATCTGATGTTTCCGCTTCTTCTTCAAAGACCCAGAAGAGGAAAAGAAGGTTGAACTCAACGGCAAAATTAATTGTCTTCTCGCGGATATTCCACACACAGTTCCTCATGCAGATGAACTCGGAGACTTGGTCAATGTGATGCGTAACAATTCCGAAACATGGATTTCATCAACCGTCGAAGCGATGGACATGAAGCAGTTTGAGAAGCTTTATGAAGCTTATTGGGAATGTGGGCATTCAGACATGACACGAGTATCCGAATGCATCGTGAAGGAGATGACACCCCTTTTACAAGAAATACGAGAACATCATTTCCGAAGCAAACAGTATCCTCAAGGTCATGAGCAGTGAAAAAAACCTGATGATAACTTTGATGGCGAACTCGTACGCAACTCGGTATGGCGGGAAATCAAAG